GACGTGAGCGCATTTTGGATAATTCAAAAGTTGGCAAAATATTGTATTGGAAAATAAAATCGATAAAAACATTTGATACTTTCTTAATTCAAAACTTCAATTTTCGACTTCACCTTTCAGTTAGAGATTCAACACGTGCTTCCAATGCACTTTTATCGACATTGGTCATTCAGCGAAACGCCTCGAAATGAATACTAATAGAAGGTGTGCGAATCTTATGTAATTCGGCCTACGCTTCTTTCATCTCATTTTTAGATTTTAAGAGGAATCGGTTGTAAATGCACCGTCAAGCATCAATGAAAACCTTCCACATTTTTCTTTCCACTTTCCGCATTTTCTGTTATTTGTGACGCACATATCTTTTTGTTGTACGTAAAAACGTTTCTTGTAAGCTTGTTGATTTGGTGCTCTCATAAGGCTTTCTCATTCATATTGATAATGACAAAAATGCTAAACTACTTCATTTGATTGAACTATCTCCTCGGGCTTAATTATAACAATCAACCGTACCAGTCTTTAATACACTAGAAAATACGTGCCTTTATACATTCGACCTGACTGCAAGAAATGTTTTTGCGGGGAAGGTAGTCGCGTAACATAACGGACGCTAGGCTTTTTCCGAAGTGCTTCCGTTCAACTGACTGAGTGGGTTGTTTTGCTGTTGATGTCCTTTTTAATTAACTTGCCGGCTCTTAAAAAAATCTCTTGAAGCTCACGCTTAGGTAACTTGATTTCATTTAGAGTCCAATATCTATTCATTTGCAACTGACGGTGACGCACTTCTATACGACGTTTCCGATTAATTAATAATTAGCTGAATTATCCAACTGTCAAGCGAACAACTTTATGATTAGCTGATTTAAAGCTTCCGTTTTCGCAAAAAAATATGACCCATGGCTAGAGCAAATTCCATTGGTGTTGCATTAGAACTTAACTACCAAATTACGAAACTTTCCATATAAGAATGCTATACCTTCGAAACCGCCCCCTCGAAACCAGAAACACATAATAATTAAAACGTCGCATGCAACGTTAGCCCTCCCTCATGCATCAAGTTGTTTATTACTCAAGCCATTTTAAAAGCGAACAGGAGTGTTTTCACCTTTATAGCCTGTTCCAGGCGTTTGGATAGTGGAGTGCGGCTCACATCTCTTTGCCCGGCGCTGTCCCACGATCTGAACGCCTGGAACAGGCTATCACCTTTATGAAAAACACTGTAAGAAAACCTTTATATTTTTGTCATTGTCGTATATAAAAGTAACCGCATGGTAATCTTTGTCTTGAACCTTTTAGTAAACTTCGACCCGGATCGACCTACTTTACGTACGGGTACGCCCGTCGGTCAGCATTTTTGAAATACTTTTTTTTCAGGAATCCTCAATCATGCGTAAATTTTAATGTCCTTTCAAATTTTGTTTGCTGGTTTGATAAAATCTTTAAAATTAGATACCATGTCTGTACTGTCGCAATTTGTAATAATCATCGCACTTTGTAATAACTATCGCAATTTGTAATAAACCGTGTCGCACTTTGTAATAAAAAAGCTGTCGCAATTTGTAATAACAGTCCATCGCACTTTGTAATAAACTAAGCTGTCGCAATTTGTAATAGTTCCATCGCACTTTGTAATAATTTTTTGAGAGTGATTCAACTTACTTCGTCAACATTAATATAATGCCAAAATATGCATGGTACTTCATAAACAAAGATGATGACGTCTGCTACCACGTAACATCTCCGTAACATTTACTTTGGTCAAACATGCATGTCTTACGCTATAAATTTTTCTGCCTTGATTAATCACGTGACCAACTAGAAACGCTTTTAAGAAAGACATGAAACTTCCTGTGACATATCACCAAAAAGAGATGAATCATGTTTAAATTCAAAAATATTTAAAAAACTAAAGCAACATTTAACAACAGAAAATTCATGAATAACCTGGCATTCGTGGTCCAAATCCAAGTTTGCTTGCCAAGTGACACGTGAAGTCTTGGGGGGTGGGGGGGGGAATATAATCCCATATATGGATGGGCTAAATAGGTAAGTACCGCCTGATAGGGTATGGTTTTTGAGGATCTCGAGCCTTTAATAGGGTATCATTTTTTACGTTGTTGGCCTTGTGTCTTTGGTTTGATCCTTAGATAGGGTAACTCAAGTAGTAATGGATGGTTTATTCCATCCTTTCCATTTTGTGGAAAAACAGTAATCCAGAACATGCTCGGAAGAATTGCAAGGTCTTACGAGTTGTATATACGCAGGGAAGGATAATTTTTTACTATCCCCATGGTATTTGCTTTAGAGGACTCCTTATAAAAAACAATTGTTTTAAGATGGAATGAGTACTCCTTCTGTTCCTATATGGGACCTAGCAAGTGAGAATAATGGGCCAAATGCCCAGCCGGCTCAGTGTAAGACCCCAATTGAGTGTTATAAAAACAGGTACATACGAAGTTATTGGCCAGCAACTAATTGGATTTTGTGTTTAGGTTTCTGTTGTGGTTCGACGGTTTGCCACTGGTGACGTTTTTTTAAATTATTTGCAGTAAACATTTTGAATCTTTCCAGGCCTCGTTTGATTAATTTGGCCAAAATATGGAAGCCACTATTACTTCTTTAAGATTGCGCGTTAGACAAGGACGGTGCACCACGTGTTGTGTCGACTTGTTGTAAGATCTAACAAGGAAAGCTTGAAATCTCCTGGTGTCCTTATTCGAATGACGTAGGATGGATGTTACGATTTGCGGAAATTAAATGCTTTTTAATAATGGCTCGTTTGTGTCTAGTGTGTCTATACTCTGACAACGCTCTGTCCAGAGCCAGATGGCCATATAAGGAAGTACACCCGCCGGGTAACCATTGAATGAAAACCACCTAGTACAATAGCAAGGTTTAAGAATACAGCATTTCGTAAGTCAGATAACTAATCAACATTAATCTAAAAAAAATGTTTAGGACGGTGGATAAAGTTAAATGTTTGAATGAGCGGAGAAGTTACGTGCTAGCTGACGTCATCATCTTTGTTTATGAAGTACCATGCATATTTTGGCGTTATATTAATGTTGACGAAGTAAGTTGAATCACTCTCAAAAAGGTATTACAAAGTGCGATGGAACTATTACAAATTGCGACAGCTTACTTTATTACAAAGTGCGATGGACAGTTATTACAAATTACGACAGCTTTTTTATTACAAAGTGCGACACGGTTTATTACAAATTGTGACAGTTATTACAAAGTGCGATGGATTTATTTCAAATTGCGACAGGTATTACAAAGCGCGATGATTATTACAAATTGCGACAGTACAATGTCCACCAGGTTTTACTACCTGTATACGTATATTTTGCGAATTTTCCTTTTTCTTTTTGTCTCGATCCTCAAGAAACTCGAACAGTTACAGCGAAAACTATTACCGTTAAAATTTCCTAAGCGACTATTTGATGCCGATTTATTCATAGTTAATCATGGCTCATTGTGGTAGATCGCTTAAGAGAGCTTTAAATGGCTGAAGGCTTGGGATATATTGTTTATTACCAATGACATTTTCAAAATATTAGTACATAGATTAGTTTTTTACTGTTGATCACATACAAAGTTCCTGTGCGTACAAGTCGAGGGACCTGATTAGCTCTAGCTCGATCTTCTGTGCTGTCTTACGGTAACTTTGACCAATAAGTGATTTGAAGTCACTACATTTCAACTGAACGGGGTTTAACAATACCGGGCGATCGTTACCAGAGATCAGATGGTCGCTTACAAGGAGAGCCTCGACTGAACTGAGCAGTAATTACAAACCGGAGTCTGTCACTCAGACATGCAAACATTAAAGCGAGGTACGAAATAGATCATGTATACCAGTTCTCGGCCAAGAAGAGTTTGATAAGAGGCGCAGTTTGCAAGACTCGATAACCAGCCGTCGTTCAGTAAATGATCCCACGTTCGTACGGCCCTGGAAGGACCGAGAGAGCAGCTAAGATCGAGCCAACTGTTTGCCAGACAATAACTATCTGTAAAGCTTCTAAAATCATTTTATCGGTGAATACACGGATTGTTTTTTAGACATATGTTGAAATTTTCGAAACGTCTTCCTTGAAGAACCAGCTGTATTGAGTATTAGTTACGGCGCTCTTTGCCTTTTCAAATGCACAATAAGAAAGCAAACTCTATGAACTGAATAGCTTTTGCTTTTGTTCCAATAGCTTTTGATTTTTGTTCCAAGCTGTGCAGAATACAAATAATAAGAACAGAAAAACCTGATTAAGAACATCGAATTTGTTTGGCTATCTTTGTCTTTCATTAATTCATACGCTAGGTTAAAAAACACCGTCTGGGCAGCTAAATAAACAAATTTTATTTTTCTTGCTGATCAGTTTTTATTTTTTTCTTTATCTATGTTTCTTTATTGAAATAAAGGATCTTTGATATTAAAGAAGGATTAAGCTGAGGATTGCAGATCTTTCATGGATTTGGCATCAGAATTGTGTTCGTTCATTCTTGATTAGTCAGCCAGTGAGAGATGTCGCAAATACAGGTCAGTATATTTTCACGTTTAACTTGCAATCCATTCTCTTTTCAAAATATTTCTCAGATAAAGCAGTCAGAAAAACGTCCTTTTCAAAACACCTTGGACTTAATCGAATGAGTTATTTATGTGACTGGGGATTTGTTTTATGAACGCCAAGCGAGAGGGAGAGCCGGACAGCATCCCAACTAAATAATGAGTTCTTCGTCGGTGTTAAACACATAGAAATAAACACTGCAGACGATGAAATTAAAGGTACTGCAAGAGAAGCACAAAATTTGAAGGTATAAAAAAATTTAAAATTTGAACACAATTAGAAAATGATGAGTTCTTGGTCGGGGTTAAACACATAGAGATAAAAACTGAAGACGTCGGAAACGGTAATCTCGCTTCCAAAGGTATTCTCATGGACTCGATTGATGATTGTTCGACTAAGCAGTTTAGTGTTTTTTAAAAATTTTTTTCTACAGAAAAAATGACGCCCTTGCATCCAAGTCTTACGTTCCACTTAATATTTGTTTCTGTCGCTGCTGGCCTGAACAACTGCATCGCCGTCACTTCCATCAAGGATTACTCATTGACCAACCACATCTACAAGATATCATCTGGGAAATCTCAGCTGACGTGTATAGTAGCATGTGATCAAGATACAAAGTGTTACAGCTTAAATTACAGATTTCCCAGCAAAACTTGCGAGTTGAGTAACTCCACTCGATTCGCGGATCTTCAGGATTTTTTGTTTTCACCAGATGTTGTATATTTCGACCACTTGTCACGTCCCTCGGGTTCGTGCGTGGGTGACGCGCCGTGTAAAAACAACGGAAGGTGTTTCAATCTGGCGAAGGCTCCTGGGTTTAAATGCAAGTGTTACAAAGACTACACTGGAGAAACGTGCAATGGTAATTAACATCATACGGTGAAATGAAAATTATAGGTTGGATGGCCACATTCCAAAGACTAGGAGGGGAGGAGGAGGGAGGGGAGGAGGGGGGAGGGGAAGGGGGGCGAGGAAGAACGTGATGGGATCGCAGGGACTCTACTTTTTCCTTTTCATGCACGGTCTTCGCAATCTCGAGCGCCTAAATTCCCCCTTCTCTCTGATCGCTTTCAAACCGCGTGCCAGGTTGATTAAAATGAATGTAAAAAACATAAAAGTATGACAAAACGGGCTTAATATCATTTCGCATCATTTTTGATAATCTAAAAAAAAGGAAAAAAAATAAGGTTAAAAAGATTGCAAAACAGTGTGATCTGACACTAGGCCCAAGACGAAATATACCAAAAAGTATTAGACAAAAAAAGAAAATAAATAAATGGAAAAGTCCCTTTGCAACCGACTGATTAATGTTTTTTTGAGACTTAGTCTGGACTGTGGCGCTTCATACCTCGGCCGTAGAAGGCGTTCTGCTTCCGTGGTAACCTAAAGAGTCTACGAAAACTCATGCATACAATTTAAGAATCGTCTATCAAATACTATATGATGATTTGGGCCAGAAAAATCTTTCCTTAATTTCCTAAATGTGATTATAGCTCACATGGGTGGGTTACAGGAAGCTCATAAATGGACTGATAGCTGCCTTTTGCACCATTGTATGCTGACGTCCGAGCTTGTAAAGAGGACGCGTCTTGCTTTCCTCTAATACACGGTATTAAATTTTACTCACTCTAGATCTCTCGATTGTTTAGTTTGTAGCTCTCCTCCACTGGGGATGCGGGATCGGCGAATTCTTGATCATCAGATAACAGCATCATCAGTGGGAATGTCGTTAAGCCTTAAACGTTTTAATGCGAGGGATGCGCGCTTATGGCTGAAGTCATCTTCCTGGGTCAGTGCTCTTGTGGATTACAGTCCTTGGCTACAAATTACTTTCGCGCCTGAAATAAAGCTAATCACTGGTATTGCTACTCAAGGCAGTCCATTATATGATTGGTTTATTACGAGCTACACCCTAAAATACAGCATGACTGGTAAAATATGGAAAAATTATGAGCAAGGTGGATTAATCAAGGTATGTAATGCAATTATTACTGATCGTGTACATTCATCGCGGCTTCCAAACTCGTCCGCAGGGCTTTTCCGCCCCTCCCATTTTCTAAGGGAAAGCCCTGGGTACGAGGTTGGTCTCCTTCAAAAATTCGAACCAAAACTGATTCCCTTCACCAGTCAAACAATGTAAGTCGGCTCCATGGATAATTATCCATCGTTACTCCTTCTGTTGAACAAGAAAGTACATAATTATAACACACTATGTTCCCTAAAAAAGAACTTTTATAAACGACACACAAGAACGAATTGGAAAGCAGTCAATCCAATCTATAACTGTTGACCTCTGGAAATATCTTCCCCCTTGAAAGACCTCCCAAGTTTCTCCTTCCCAAAACAACATCTTTCCTCCTTCCCCTAAAACAACATCTATTGTTTAGACAATTTGAAAGTTGACCATATCCGTTCTTTTCTCCGTGTTGTGTCTAGTTTGTGTGTGTTATTTATTTATTTATTTTGTTTTGTTTTCTTTTTTTGCTACTATTTTACCTATCGCCACTTTGTTATTAACAAAATATATCATTTTATAGCAGCTACGCGCTAGCACGAAAACGTTTTTTCCCAGACATCCTTGTTGTCATAACTAATAATTTTATGATACAACTTCTTCTTTTCTTGCCACTAGCATCCAAAAATGTAAAATTCTCTATTTGGATGTAATAATAATAAAGGTTTGTTGTTGCTGAACCTCTCGACAACTCAAAGCAATTTTGTTTTCCTCTGTACGGGTTCGAAAAATCAGGATTCCACTTAGTTTGCTTCAGATTGTGGTTCAGTGACTGTAAATCTTTGCACGCTTTGAAAAGTCTATTCAAAAAGAGACAGGCAACCCCTGTATCGAGTATAATTCATGTGTTTCATGATACAAAAACACTTCTGGTAGTACTGACTATTTTGACGGATTTGATATATCTATAACCTTAAGAAATAGCGCGCTTTGACGGAAAATTTACGGACAGGATATCCCGTTCAGTCATAGTTTTAGATTTTCTTTTAGCCCCTGAAGAAGGTTTGTTTTCAAACCGAAATATTGGGCAGTTTGTTTAAATTTATATTTTTTTGTTTTCTTCTTTTGTTTACTTCTTCATCGCCTTGCTGTAATGATCAGTTTGCCGTTTCATATTTTTCTACAAGTTTAATTGTACTGATCCAGGACTACAACTGGGAGATCCGGCACCACACGTTGGTTTGTTGCTGTGGACTTGCCGACATTTTATATATTTCGGCACAATATACCTTGAGATAAGACAAATTAAGCTTCAAGCAAGTGACATACACTTACACGTGTAAACCCACGACCATGCAAATGAGCCCTAATAAGGGCGAAACAGCTATCCATGGCTACCACAATGGCTACCACTGCCTGGGTGATATGCACATGTGTGCGGTTTTGGCCATGCAGAGCGTTGGCTTACGTGTATTACTTGCTTTAAGTTTTTCTTAACTTAAGATGGTCGTCATTGCTACGTAAACGGATGTATAAAAAGTACCAAGAACAATTTAAAGTCTTTGGACTTCTAGCTTGTTCTTGGTTCTTTATATTTTGGCTGATTTGATCTCTTTTCTAGAGATCCAACGTTTACAACTAGCAGGATCTTCGTCCACGGTTTTTGCAGCTAATTTAATCGTATAAAAAGTACTATTTTTCCTTGATGTCTATTGGTCATTTGAGGTTGCGTCTGAGACTGGTGTAGGTGTTGTGTCGAATTGCACTATGGGATTGTTCTACGGGTTGACTTATGACCAATATTGCACTCCCATATTGCAATTCGACACAACATCGACCCGGTCTTACGCACAGCACTTGAACTGAGTCCACGTTTGATATATTAAAATTCTAACATGACTCAGAGGCTTCAGGGTCAAAATTGCAAATTTTTCACGACTCCATTGTCTAGCGATTCCCAGAAGAGACTTGAGGACAAAGAAAACCAAACCAAATATAGAAAAATGACCAGAAAGCCTCGGAGCCATGTTAGAATATTAATATATCGAACGTGAGCTATTGGTCAACGCCCTTCCCCACTCTAAACTGTTTGCCTACCACACATTTTTTCAGCGAAATGTACACCCCGGTTCTACGGTTACTAGTTTTTCTGAATCTTTTGCAGAAATTTTCTGGAAATTCAGACAGAAACACAGTTGTGAGTCACGGAATTTCTCCACCCATCAAGGCGTCATTTATCCGCATTTTCCCACTTGATACAAAGACGCTCAGAATTTTTTAAAAATTTTTTTCTACAGAAAAAATGACGCCCTTGCATCCAAGTCTTACGTTCCACTTAATATTTGTTTCTGTCGCTGCTGGCCTGAACAACTGCATCGCCGTCACTTCCATCAAGGATTACTCATTGACCAACCACATCTACAAGATATCATCTGGGAAATCTCAGCTGACGTGTATCGTAGCATGTGATCAAGATACAAAGTGTTACAGCTTAAATTACAGATTTCCCAGCAAAACTTGCGAGTTGAGTAACTCCACTCGATTCGCGGATCTTCAGGATTTTTTGTTTTCACCAGATGTTGTATATTTCGACCACTTGTCACGTCCCTCGGGTTCGTGCGTGGGTGACGCGCCGTGTAAAAACAACGGAAGGTGTTTCAATCTGGCGAAGGCTCCTGGGTTTAAATGCAAGTGTTACAAAGACTACACTGGAGAAACGTGCAATGGTAATTAACATCATACGGTGAAATGAAAATTATAGGTTGGATGGCCACATTCCAAAGACTAGGAGGGGAGGAGGAGGGAGGGGAGGAGGGGGGAGGGGAAGGGGGGCGAGGAAGAACGTGATGGGATCGCAGGGACTCTACTTTTTCCTTTTCATGCACGGTCTTCGCAATCTCGAGCGCCTAAATTCCCCCTTCTCTCTGATCGCTTTCAAACCGCGTGCCAGGTTGATTAAAATGAATGTAAAAAACATAAAAGTATGACAAAACGGGCTTAATATCATTTCGCATCATTTTTGATAATCTAAAAAAAAGGAAAAAAAATAAGGTTAAAAAGATTGCAAAACAGTGTGATCTGACACTAGGCCCAAGACGAAATATACCAAAAAGTATTAGACAAAAAAAGAAAATAAATAAATGGAAAAGTCCCTTTGCAACCGACTGATTAATGTTTTTTTGAGACTTAGTCTGGACTGTGGCGCTTCATACCTCGGCCGTAGAAGGCGTTCTGCTTCCGTGGTAACCTAAAGAGTCTACGAAAACTCATGCATACAATTTAAGAATCGTCTATCAAATACTATATGATGATTTGGGCCAGAAAAATCTTTCCTTAATTTCCTAAATGTGATTATAGCTCACATGGGTGGGTTACAGGAAGCTCATAAATGGACTGATAGCTGCCTTTTGCACCATTGTATGCTGACGTCCGAGCTTGTAAAGAGGACGCGTCTTGCTTTCCTCTAATACACGGTATTAAATTTTACTCACTCTAGATCTCTCGATTGTTTAGTTTGTAGCTCTCCTCCACTGGGGATGCGGGATCGGCGAATTCTTGATCATCAGATAACAGCATCATCAGTGGGAATGTCGTTAAGCCTTAAACGTTTTAATGCGAGGGATGCGCGCTTATGGCTGAAGTCATCTTCCTGGGTCAGTGCTCTTGTGGATTACAGTCCTTGGCTACAAATTACTTTCGCGCCTGAAATAAAGCTAATCACTGGTATTGCTACTCAAGGCAGTCCATTATATGATTGGTTTATTACGAGCTACACCCTAAAATACAGCATGACTGGTAAAATATGGAAAAATTATGAGCAAGGTGGATTAATCAAGGTATGTAATGCAATTATTACTGATCGTGTACATTCATCGCGGCTTCCAAACTCGTCCGCAGGGCTTTTCCGCCCCTCCCATTTTCTAAGGGAAAGCCCTGGGTACGAGGTTGGTCTCCTTCAAAAATTCGAACCAAAACTGATTCCCTTCACCAGTCAAACAATGTAAGTCGGCTCCATGGATAATTATCCATCGTTACTCCTTCTGTTGAACAAGAAAGTACATAATTATAACACACTATGTTCCCTAAAAAAGAACTTTTATAAACGACACACAAGAACGAATTGGAAAGCAGTCAATCCAATCTATAACTGTTGACCTCTGGAAATATCTTCCCCCTTGAAAGACCTCCCAAGTTTCTCCTTCCCAAAACAACATCTTTCCTCCTTCCCCTAAAACAACATCTATTGTTTAGACAATTTGAAAGTTGACCATATCCGTTCTTTTCTCCGTGTTGTGTCTAGTTTGTGTGTGTTATTTATTTATTTATTTTGTTTTGTTTTCTTTTTTTGCTACTATTTTACCTATCGCCACTTTGTTATTAACAAAATATATCATTTTATAGCAGCTACGCGCTAGCACGAAAACGTTTTTTCCCAGACATCCTTGTTGTCATAACTAATAATTTTATGATACAACTTCTTCTTTTCTTGCCACTAGCATCCAAAAATGTAAAATTCTCTATTTGGATGTAATAATAATAAAGGTTTGTTGTTGCTGAACCTCTCGACAACTCAAAGCAATTTTGTTTTCCTCTGTACGGGTTCGAAAAATCAGGATTCCACTTAGTTTGCTTCAGATTGTGGTTCAGTGACTGTAAATCTTTGCACGCTTTGAAAAGTCTATTCAAAAAGAGACAGGCAACCCCTGTATCGAGTATAATTCATGTGTTTCATGATACAAAAACACTTCTGGTAGTACTGACTATTTTGACGGATTTGATATATCTATAACCTTAAGAAATAGCGCGCTTTGACGGAAAATTTACGGACAGGATATCCCGTTCAGTCATAGTTTTAGATTTTCTTTTAGCCCCTGAAGAAGGTTTGTTTTCAAACCGAAATATTGGGCAGTTTGTTTAAATTTATATTTTTTTGTTTTCTTCTTTTGTTTACTTCTTCATCGCCTTGCTGTAATGATCAGTTTGCCGTTTCATATTTTTCTACAAGTTTAATTGTACTGATCCAGGACTACAACTGGGAGATCCGGCACCACACGTTGGTTTGTTGCTGTGGACTTGCCGACATTTTATATATTTCGGCACAATATACCTTGAGATAAGACAAATTAAGCTTCAAGCAAGTGACATACACTTACACGTGTAAACCCACGACCATGCAAATGAGCCCTAATAAGGGCGAAACAGCTATCCATGGCTACCACAATGGCTACCACTGCCTGGGTGATATGCACATGTGTGCGGTTTTGGCCATGCAGAGCGTTGGCTTACGTGTATTACTTGCTTTAAGTTTTTCTTAACTTAAGATGGTCGTCATTGCTACGTAAACGGATGTATAAAAAGTACCAAGAACAATTTAAAGTCTTTGGACTTCTAGCTTGTTCTTGGTTCTTTATATTTTGGCTGATTTGATCTCTTTTCTAGAGATCCAACGTTTACAACTAGCAGGATCTTCGTCCACGGTTTTTGCAGCTAATTTAATCGTATAAAAAGTACTATTTTTCCTTGATGTCTATTGGTCATTTGAGGTTGCGTCTGAGACTGGTGTAGGTGTTGTGTCGAATTGCACTATGGGATTGTTCTACGGGTTGACTTATGACCAATATTGCACTCCCATATTGCAATTCGACACAACATCGACCCGGTCTTACGCACAGCACTTGAACTGAGTCCACGTTTGATATATTAAAATTCTAACATGACTCAGAGGCTTCAGGGTCAAAATTGCAAATTTTTCACGACTCCATTGTCTAGCGATTCCCAGAAGAGACTTGAGGACAAAGAAAACCAAACCAAATATAGAAAAATGACCAGAAAGCCTCGGAGCCATGTTAGAATATTAATATATCGAACGTGAGCTATTGGTCAACGCCCTTCCCCACTCTAAACTGTTTGCCTACCACACATTTTTTCAGCGAAATGTACACCCCGGTTCTACGGTTACTAGTTTTTCTGAATCTTTTGCAGAAATTTTCTGGAAATTCAGACAGAAACACAGTTGTGAGTCACGGAATTTCTCCACCCATCAAGGCGTCATTTATCCGCATTTTCCCACTTGATACAAAGACGCTCAGACGCACTGCCCTGCGGCTTGAGCTCTATGGCTGCGACTTCGTCGAAAACCAAACAGTGAACTAATTTACCTGCAGTTACTC